GCATAAGCTTTCGTGGACTATGCATATCCGAAGAAGTGGGCTGTAGTCCACGAAAGCTTATGCTCTAATAAATTTGTTAGTCTCTAAGGTGCCACAAGTACTCCTGTTCTTTCTCCAAAGACTGTTAACCTACTGTTGTTGCAGAAACACACAAGAATAAAAGTAGTTTTCTTCATTCATTTATGTATTGGACAACTCTTCCCTGTTTAGTCAACTTCCCCTTTTGTTGTTAAGATGAGTACTTCACACACACTAACTAGAAAGAGAAAAGTGTTGTAAAAACAATAGGAAAGTAGGATTTTAGAGACACAATAAGGCAGATGTAACACCTGAAAACATTGCCCCCATTAACGGGGACAGGCATAGACGGGGGAGGGGGGCAGGCATAGAAAAGTATTAAGGACAGACTATGTTGTTAAAGTACACAAACTTTTACAATTATTTTCCCTTCTGTGATATCTTGATGGTTCACTAAAAATGTATTATCCTGCACTGTCAAAAATGCTATGGATTGCAATGAAGCTTCTAGAATCTATGATATCTTCACTGAAACAGAATTCCCAAAAAGGATTTGTTTAACACTGTCCCCAACCCAAACAGCCTGGAAAAAGTACTCCTGGGGGCATTCTGCACCAAAAAAATAAAAACTCCGTGCAAAATTCTGCAAATTATATTTGTCAAATAAATGTAGCGACTTCAGCGTGGCATTGGGGAGCACAGGCCACTGATTGCACAGAGGTGGGAGATCATTGTGCAGCCCCCCCCACACACACACACAGACTCAGCGGTGAGGCTGCACTCAATCCACACACAGCTCAAGGAATGGGCCTGCCCCAGAACCACCCCAGGACCCTGCCCCTCCATGCCAGGTGCACTAGGTGTGGCCAGGCAAGATCCAAGCATGGAGAGGCTTAGTGTGGGGGGATCCAAGTGTGGGTTGAGGGGGTTCTGTGTGGGGCAATATGGGTGCGGGCGGCTCAGGGATCCGTGTGTGGGGGGGGATCTGGACGCACAGGGGCTTGTTGGTGGGTGGAGAGGGTTGCGGGGGCAAAGATAATGGGACTCTGCAGGGGGTCCAGCTGAATGTGGTTGGGGATCTGGGTGTGGGGGGATATAGAGCTTGACCGGGGCGTCTGGATGTGGGGGGCTAAGTGAGGGGTCCAGATGCTGGGGGAGTGGGGCTCATTGGAGTGGAGATTCAGGTGCAACTGGCTGGGGCTCAGTGATGTGGGGATCTGGGTGCAGGTGGCTCGTTGGGGTGGTCCAGGTGCAGGGGGAGTGGGCTCCTCAGGGGGGTTCCAAGTCAGGGAGTGAGGCTCAGCGGGAGGGTCTGGGTACAAGGGGATCTGGATGCATGGGGGTTGAGTGGATGGGGGAGCAGCTCCCTGTACATGGATACCTCCTCCCCTAGCGATGGATGCAGGAAGTGGTGGGTGAGGGTAAGTGTGCAGAGCTTCCTGTAGCTGGTGGAGAAATCTGGGGGTGGGTCTTACCCAGCCCTGGATGCAGTGCAGGGGAAGAGGGAGTCCTATCCTCCCCAGCCCAGCTGGGATTAGCAGCTGAGTCCGGCGCAGGATAGGAGCCACCAGCCAGGTCTTCCCCAGCCCCACCCCCTACCCCTACCTCTCTGACAGCTGCCCCACAACATACTTCTGGGGAGGGTCACATGACCGCACTTGTGGCTTCCGTTTGCTTTCCCGATAGAAAGTCATTTTTCTGCAGGGAAGCAAAGAAAACTGCAAGGGACATAAATTATGCGCGTGCGCAGTATTCCCCCAGGAGTAAAAAAGGGTGCATTCAACAACTAAAAAAAAATTATTTAAAATAAATATTGTCAGAGTAATTAATAACTAGCAAGGTAATCAAGTGTTTACTTGCCTCCTTACAAAGCTATCAATTTCAATCTACAGACTTTGATTGGCACTCAAAGTTTACTACAACGCTCTCCATAAGTGAAATATATCACCCACCTAGTTTACCAAATGAAGTTAATACTTTTATTGAGTTTTGGCTCGAACCTGCCTCCCCATCCTGCAACTGACCAGTCTGTGGCTGTAGTCAGTAGTTAATATCTGATCCCCAGCTCACTTTTATCACTACTTACTGCCAGGAATTCTGCACACCATCATCTGATAAGAAATTCAGGAATAGCTTACAAAATTATAATAAATTATGTTGGATGTGTGTGTCCCTCTACTTTGTTTTGACCCAGAAAAAAATCAGCAGGTCATTTCCTGTTACCCCATTTTAAATAAGAGAAAAATGCTACTTTTAGCATTTCACTGACAAGTCATAACAGACTACATAATGAAATGCCACAGGTCAAATTTTCAGGACATCCCATTTTACAGTAATGTCTCCTCCCCAAGGCAACCTCAGAAAGCCTAATATGGATAGGAGGTTTTTATCAAAAATATCTAGTTTTTAATAAGAACAGATTTAAACATTTTATTGGGGGGGGGGGAGGGATAGCTCAGTGGTTTGAGCATTGGCCTGCTAAACCCAGGGTTGTGAGTTCAATCCTTGAGGGGGCCACTTGGGGATCTGGGGCAAAATCAGTACTTGGTCCTGCTAGTGAAGGCAGGGGGCTGGACTCGATGACCTTTCAAGGTCCCTTCCAGTTCTAGGAGATGGGATATCTCCATTAATTTATTTATTAAGATGTTTTTTAAAAAGTGAACGGTACAGAGTTTAAGTGTAGAAGTTTCTGGTTATCAGGGAATAACGTACAGATTATCAAGGGGCGCGAAGTTCAATTTAAGATTTGATGGCTAAGGAATACATAATCGGCAGTATCCCCGATTGGGGGATCAAAGGTTAACGGGTCAAAGTACAGATATTGAGATAAGAGAGTATGTTGTTCATATAATGGCTACATTCAGGTGTGGAGTATCATGAGTTGATACAATGATGAGGATGGATTGACACTCATTTGGTGAGATATAATGTTCAGTGAGTTTATGGTTCCAGTTCATATGGTCCAACAGACAAGTACATACATAAGTCAACCCCACAGACTGAAGTCATCATGCTAAATCACAGCATGTAAGCCATGAATGCACACCCCCACCAACTCCCTTCCTATAGCACCATAACAAAGGGATAAACAATTAAAAACAAAACTTGAGTCTTTTCTAGCTTAGCTACCCCTGTCATTTGCAAGAGGCAGACAATGTACATTTCCAAACCAGGTCTCCGAAAATCCAATCCGGGCACTTCCTTGTTTCCTCTCTCTATATCATATTGTTGTATTTCCCTCCAACCCTCCCAAACACAAATACTTCATTTTGCCTCGCTTTACTTCCACACTAGGCCAAGCATTACCTTGGCCAGATCCCATTTCCCACCAGGATAAACGCAGAAAAATAAAAATAATCTCGCCAAGAGAAAGTCACCCAGCCAAGGGACAGAAAAAGGTCACGCACGCGGCAAAGAAATGCTTAATAGAAGCAACATCCTTCCCCCAGACGCACACAATTTTAAGTGACAATCCACTTATTTGCACTAAACACTTGCATTAACACTCTAGGCTGGCGAAGCAGAGTTGCACTAGGTGCGTTGCTAGGCTGGCTGCCGATGCCGAGCGGACTTTGTATTTTTTTCCCTACGGGTCGGGGAGATGAATTGTGCAGAGACGGACAGCAAAGGGGTTGCATGGCGAGGCACGAGGGGAGCTGCGCGCCCGGAGTGGCGGACGTATCTGCATGCCTGGGGAGAGGCGGGGGAGCTCCGCATGTACGGGGAGACACAGGGCAAGGGGAACCTGCACGCCTGAAGGGCGAGGGCAATTGCATCTATAAAGGACAGGGAGATCTGCATGCCTGAGGGGGGGTTACCACAGGGGCCCTACAACATGGGGGAGGGGAGACCACAGGAGACGTGCAGGCGGGGGTGGGGGAGCAACCTACACACCGGGGGGAGGGGCAGCCGGATGCCTGCACGGGGGAATCAGCTGCGTGCCTGGAAGGAGTGGGGTGCAGGGGGGGGGGAGATCTGGAAGGAAGGAGCGCAAGGATTTGGGGAGGGAAGCGCTCGCATGTGGCCGCTGGCTGATGGGCAGAGCCCGGCGGCGGCTGGAGCAGCAGGAGGGCCTGCAGCAAGGAGCGGGCCGGGGCCGGCTCCCCCTGGCCCGCTGTCTGACTGGCCAGAGGCGGAGCACCAGCCGCCGCTCGGGGCGGGGAGGTGCAAGCGGGGGGCGCTAGCAAGTGGGGAGCGGGGCGGGCGGGGGCGCTGACCTGGGGCGCTGAGCAGGAAGTCCAGGGTTCTGTGTCGCGCTGCTGCTGCTGCCATGGCGAGGCGGAGCCCTGTGCCATGCCTGGTGGCGGCGGCCGCTGCTGCTGCGCTGCGAGTGCCACTGCCAGAGCCTGTGTGCGGCGTGGGGCTGCTGCGTTGCCGCGTGTGCGGCGGGCTGGGGGAGCGCAGGGGGAGGGACCCGCCAGCGCCGCCCAGCCCACACGGAGGGGAGCGCAACCGCGGCGGCGAGGCTGTGCTGCAGGCGGGCCGCGGAGTCCCAACCTTGCGGGGGGGGGTCCCAGCCTTCCCCCTTCACTGCCGCCCATAGGTCTGGGAGACACTGGGCAGTAATTAAACAGCAAACAAACCCTGGCGCCCTGCTGCGCTCCCAGCCCAGGCAATATCCCCTCTCCCTCCCTGGCACGCCCACGCTGTACCAGCACCAGGAGAGGGGAAGAGTGAGCGCAATACTTTGGTTCCTTGGGTTGTAAGCCCAGCAAGGAACGAAAGAACAGCCATATTGGGTCAGAGCAAAGGTCCCTGTAGCCCAGTATCCTGTCTTCCGACTGGCCAATGCCAGGCGCCCCAGAGGGAATGAACACAACAGGTAATCATCAAGTGAGCCAGAAGGCAGTCAGAGGTTTAGGGACACAGTAAGAACCTATAACCATCTTTTTATTGTGCTTGTTCAGTGCCCAGCCCATGACTGGGGCTCCTATGTACAACAGTACTGCAAAAGAACTGATTGTATTAGTTTTATGTGCTTCCTTTGCTGCCCTGCGCCTCTCTTTGGAACATGATGGATTCTAGAGTTGGACCCTTCCCAAACCTTCAGTTGTTTTTGGAGCAGACAGATGCCACCTGTGCTGCCACAACAAAAATACACTCCCACCCCCTGACTTCTCCCAGGGACTTGTTTCACAGAAATACCACAGAGTTCCCAGTGTTCTCCCAGTCCTAACTTCATTGCCTAGTAGGAAGGCTGCTGTCACTCTCCTTCAAAACATTTAAGAAAGGCTGCTGTAAGGAAACTTTTAAAATCTTTGAATAAAATTAGAATTGCAAGATGAGACGATGCATACCACAAACAGCAGATGAAAGAGGCAACATGTAAACAATGGGTGGTAGTAAAAATTTTAGTTCAAGCAGCTGTGGCTGATTTGACATCTAGAAATGTATCATTTTGTGGCATGGTTACCAAAAACTCGACTGAAACATGCAACCAGACCATAGCAGCCAATAAGACATGTGTCATGGACTAGCTGGCCCTTTGAGGCAAGCTCTGCCCATCATTTAGCAGCTATCCCTAGAGTTACTGAGGAGCTGCCATTAGTTCATTAATGACCCCACTGGGTGTAATGGGGCTTAATTAGAAAGACTAACCCCAGCTGTGCTGGTGAAGCAGGGTGAGTACTATTCAAACAGAGCTGGGAACTCAGAAGAAAGGTGGACCCTAGAGAAAGAAACAAGAGGAGTTCCCCTCCAGGAAGAGTCTGAGGCAGTCAAGCTGAATCACCTGGAGAGGAGAGGAGAGGAGAGGCTTAGGGGAGGAGGGGAAGAGCAATGAGTTAGGGCCTAAAAGTAGCAGGGAGTTCCTCAGAGGTAAACTGCTAAGGCCTGGTCTACACTACGAGTTTAGGTCGACTTTAGCAGCGTTAAATCGAATTAAGCCTGGACACGTCCACACGACGAAGCCCTTTCTATCGACTTAAGGGGCCCTTTAAACCAGTTTCTTTACTCCACCTCTGACGAGGGGATTAGCGATAAAATCGGCCTTAGCGGGTCGGAATTGGGGTAGTGTGGATGGAATTTGACGTTATTGGCCTCCGGGAGCTATCCCACAGTGCTTCATTATGACCGCTCTGGACAGCACTCTCAACTCAGATGCACTGACCAGGTAGACAGGAAAAGCCCCGCGAACGTTTGAATTTCATTTCCTGTTTGCCCAGCGTGGAGAGCACAGGTGACCACGCAGAGCTCATCAGCACAGGTAACCATGATAGAGTCCCAGGATCGCAAAAGAGCTCCAGCATGGACTGAACGGGAGGTACGGGATCTGCTCGCCATATGGGGAGATGAATCAGTGCTAGCTGAACTCCGTAGCAGTAAAAGAAATGGCAAAATATTAGAAAAGGTCTCCAAGGTCATGAAGGACAGAGGCCATAACAAGGACACACAGCAGTGCCGCGTGAAAATTAAGGAGCTAAGGCAAGCCTACCACAAAGCCAGAGAGGCAAACGGAAGGTTCGGGGCACAGCCGCAAACATGCCGCTTCTACGCAGAGCTGCATGCCATGCTAGGGGGTGCCGCCACCACTACCCCAACCGTGTGCTATGACTCCTTCACTGGAGAAACACAAAGGGAAGAGGGTTCGGGGTATGAGGAAAAGGAAGATGAAGATAATGTGGATAGCTCACAGCAGCAAGGAAGCGGAGAAACCGGTTTCCCCAACAGCCAGGATATGTTTATCACCCTGGACCTGGAGCCAGTAACCCCTGAACTCACCCAAGGCGTGCTCCCAGACCCTGAGGGCACACCGGGGACCTCTAGTGAGTGTACCTTTGTAAATATTACACATGGTTTAAAAGCAAGCGTGTTTAATGATTAATGATTCATTTGCCCTGGCAATCACGGCCAGTACAGCTACTGGAAAAGTCTGTTAACGTGTATGGGAATGGAGCGGAAATCCTCCAGGGACATCTCCAGAAAGCTCTCCTTCATGTACTCCCAAAGCCTTTGCAAAAGATTTCTGGGGTAGCCTGGCTTACCCCGTTCGCCATGGTGGCACACTTTTCCA